AGGAATTAGGAAAAGTCCATTTCACAACTTACCCGGAGTAACATTAAAGACTTTCTGTAGTCATAAAAATTAAACATATTTGAGTACAGGACACACACAGTATATCATCAGATAGTTAATTGGGATCAGATAGGTCTATTAAAAATTGACTTGCACTATTTTTTAGCCTTCTTAGATAAAAATAATGGAAACTTGATTGATTGCAGGTCATAGTTTAGGTGATAAATAGGAGATGGAGGATGATAAAATGAATTATAAATGATAAGATAGACATGCAATGCATGATTAATGGATAAAAATCAAAATGTTATTACATATATACTGGATGTTAAATGCCAGTAGTTCAATTCTTTGATGTCCATCTTCTCATCATACTATTTCTTCAGAACTTGGAAGATGTATATATATAGAATACTTACTTGGGTTTAATAATGTATTTTGTCCAGGTTTGAATTTTGACAGTTAAAATTATTCATACATATAAGACATGTAGTTTGTATGGTTTACAGATCACCACTATTAACATATTTGAAACATTTATTGTAAAATGAATATCAGTATATTTGTTATTGCTGAGCAAATTCATGTAGAATGTTATGTGCTGAGATCACAAACACTTCCCTTACGTCCGAGAAAAATACCATAAGAACTTTTCCACTGTCTGACCCAAAAGCTTAAAATTTTGGATGCCAAAATTTTAATAATCTAGTGTTTCTTCGAAGACTGCTGTACCGAGTTTTAATGTAGTATTTTTTTCAAATAATTGTTAGAGCCTTGTTGTTGTTTCTCTTACAGAGAATTTTATAATGTAACAAAATTGAAGGAGGATATACATCATGTTTATTGTTAGATACCAGCAAGAAATACACATAAATGAGTAATTTTATGAAATTAATATTCAAAACAGATGGTATAATCTATAACTGATAGATAACATGAATGTATGGAACCTAATCAGCTTATTTTGGACCATAGTATATTGTTCAAACACAATATTTATTTTTATAACCTTGGCTAATCACATTTTCTATAAATGCTGTATATTAATAAAGGGACAGGATGATAAAAATCATGAAATATTTCCATGCATCTGTTGGTAACATGCATTAATCTTGTTTCTGTACTGGCAATGTTATAATGATGATGAATTAAAGTATCAAATAACAGTAAATGCATTTGTATGTTCATCAAATAGTTTAAGGAAATGTTGAACTATAGAAAAGATAGGAAGTTGATATGTTGTTGTGAGCATTATAATCTGACATATTTGACCATGAATATACCTGGAGTCTAAAGAAAATAAGCTTGCAACATTTTGGCTATGCAAAGAATCTTATTAGCTATAATGATTTGGTATACAACAATTAAAAAAGTAAAAATGAAGTAAAAAAACAACAGTAATTTCATGAATTATATATAGAACCAGATAACTGTTTTAGAGTGGTAGTAGATTGTTTCAAGGAAGAAGAAGAAAGGGTAAGATATAAATGTATCAGATTTTGTCTGCTATCTGTCATACATCAACTAGAACAATTTGATATATGGAGGTCTGATGGTAGCTACATCTTGATAGACCAATTAAAATTCCTGATCTTTATCTGTACATACAACAGCAACCCTGTGTTGAGCTTGTTTGTTTGGCAACATAAAGAAACTGTAGATTACCATCTACTTACGGATGCAGGTGTTCTATTGGAAGACTTGGCTACCTTACCATATAGACTGGCTCGCCAGTATTCTGCAGAAGAGACTATGGCTTGCATACAGATGCCATAAAAGATGAAGGCACAGCTACTAATTAGGTTACGCTTATGACTAAGGTTGAAATTATTTAAGTGAAGTTTTAACTTCAGTTTCTGGATTGTCTGTTGTTAACTTGTAGGTATTGATGTGTTTCAAGATTGAACATGTTGTTTAGGAATGTTTTAAACATGTTGCAAAATTTTCATAAAATGCAAGAGAAAGATTTTTGATGGATATTATAGTTGCATTATTAACAAATAACTTCTAATAGACAATCTAATCTAAAAACATATTAATCAGATATTTTCATAGAAAAAAGGCCCCAATAAACTAAATATTCCTGAAAGAGTAATCTTTTTTTTTGCCATTATACCACAAAGAAATGATAGTAACAAAGATGTTACTTGGAAGAGTATTTTTAGTCAATTTCTCGTTCAATTTTTGTTCCCAGTGTGAACATATTCAGTCTGCTGCTCATCCACAAAATTATAATCTTTATATTCAATCATTGTTAAATAGCTGCTATAAATTTTATATTACTAATCAAATGGGCGCTGTTGGAATTGCTAATACCAAGTTTTTTTCCTTTTTGCTATAATTCACTCTACCATCGATAGAGAAAAAAAAATGCAATAAAAAATTGCATAAATAAGATATCCTTTTTCCAGAAAAGATATTTTCGTAATTTATGAAAAATGACGGATATTACGGATGCCTCGCCAACCAGTAACGATTTTCTGATGAGGTCTGTTTAAAGAAGATTTTTATCAAATGCCATTTTTCTTCTTACGAAACAAGCAAACTCAATTAAGCCATGGATCAGCTTACTAATTTCTTGATCAGATTTCTTGAATTTAGCCGAGTAACAAATAGCAGTGTCATAACTTCATGGTGATTGGAAACAGCTCAGAATTACCTATAGGTACCTGCTGCTGTAGCTTCTCAACAACAATTCATCATGATTTTTGTATTGACTTTTACCTCTTATAAAATCATTTCACTTTTTAGCTGGCTAATAATTGTCTGCTGTATGTTCCCTATTCAATCAGTGTAATATTATTTGAATTTTTCACTAAAAAGTTATATGAATAGTTTAGATGATGATAAAATGAAAGTCCAAAGCATGGAAATGGTTAAGAAGAAAAACAAGTTTCTTGTCTTGTTTTGACATGTTTATCAATCTTTGCACTGTTAGTCAATCTTTGCCCTGTTTATCAATCTTTGCCCTGTTTATCAATCTTTGCCCTGCTAAATCTGTGTGATGGGCTTTGCCCTATTGTGAACTTGGAATTGTTCATTAATTTTATATCTTGCAGCATTTAAGGAAAAAAAATTGCTAAAATTTATGTCATTACAGGCATTGACAGTTATTAACAATATAAGCAGAACAGATAATTCAATACTTGGTAGATATAATTGTTTGGTGTATAGACCAGGCAATTAAAACATTCATGCATTCCAATTTAAACAGCTGCCTCCCAGCTTGTATTTTAATGTTTCATTTGATCAGTCTCTGTGAAAATTAGAAATAAACATTTTGATATATCATAATGACATTGATTATCAGTGCAAAGATTTATTTACCTGAAATTAATATACATTTAAAGGGGATTAGTTTAGCAGGAAGTGCTTAGCTATAAACGTGCAATTAAATTAATTTTGTTAAAAATGCTATGAAAATAAAAAACAATGTGGAAGATATTTTGCTTGCGATTGAAGTATTATATGCATCATGTAAGTCGTTAATAACATCTGCAGTATTCTTAGCTTTCATTTAAACAGTGCAAAAGAACGCTTCATACAAGCAGTTGTTGTCTGATTGCACAGACAATATTTCAGTTTGCGAACGTATAAAAGTTATTATGTAATCAAATAGAATACCTGTAATTGTTTCATAATGCATAAGATTTATTGAGAGATAGTCTCCTAATTTTAACGCATAACAGTTGTAAATATTTACATTACAGAATGCCAGTCAGTATGTTTTTCTTCAATCCCGAAAATGTTGGTTAATTTTCTTCATGATAACTTTATCATAGGCTTGTGTCTTGAAGTTTAGACAGTGTCACTTTTACAAGTGGAATTTGTTATGCAAGGAAATCAGAAAGTAAAATTTGAAATACCTTTTTTTTCAGACTTAAATATATATGTTTAAGTAAAACACATGTTAAGTATAGGGAAAAGTGGATTTTATCGGAAAGAAAAATTCAAAAACTTAAGTTAAAGCATATTTAATTTCATTGAAAAGTATAAGGCATCTACATATGGAAATATGAAATATTTCTTTTAAAATAATGATTGTGATTTAAACTATCACAATCATTTCATAATGTAAAAATATGAATCAAAATTGTTCCTCTTTAGACCCCAAAGTTAAATTCATATATTTTTCACAAATATGGATCATATACAATTTTTTTTCCAGTGCTTCTTTATTTTACCTCATGTTGATTTATGTTGATCATTCAAATATTTATCTGTTATGAAATTGCTATTTAGGCCTTCTGCTCTCAGCAGATACCCAGTTGTTTGTGAAGTTATTTTCTACATTAAAACAGTAGAGAGATACTAATATTACTCTGTCATCCAAGTTTTATTGTTTGATACAAACCCTGGAGAATTTCCTTAGGAGGTGTATTTATAAGACTGGTATTTTGTGGAACTGTAAATCTAGGAATTTATAGGCTAGTTCAGCCATTCTCCAGGAGTAATTCTGGTTTACTGTGGCTTAAACATCTCTCATACCAACAAGTTTAGAAACAAAATTGCCAATAAAAGATGTTTTTCAGTCTTTACCTTGTGGTTAGTTAGTAATTCTGATAGTGAGGTTTGTGGGTTTTTATTGCAACTGGGTGGATTCAGGTGATGTAATTACAAAACATTACTCTGAATTTAGAGGGAGAGAATGATAGTAAAAGTGCAGTGAGCTAGGAGGTATGGAGACTTCTTTGATGTTTTCTTTATATATATATAGACAAGCATTGTTTGGATAATTGCTGAGTCATGATTCTGTCTGTAAATGACTGGAAATAAGATTCTGTTTCTAAAATCATTGAAATGTAATAGTTGTGTAGAATTCCCAGACAATTTGATCAACACCTGCATTTAATTTATTAGCAGCCACTGAAACAGTAAAAATATGGTACATATTTTGTTTCAGGGACCTTTTTGTGTTGATTTACTGTAATACCAAGCTTTTTTCATGTTGCCTATTTACCTATAATGCTAATGTTTGTATTTTTTTTTTCTATTTTTAGAACAATGCATTCCCCACAGTCTCCGATAGAAAACGGGCGCAGAGAGCCGGACTCTGATGCTATAAAAATGTTCGTTGGGCAGGTCCCAAGGTCCATGGATGAAAATGATCTCACCAAAATGTTTGAACAGTATGGCCCAGTCTATCAGTTAAATGTTCTACGTGACAAGGTCTCCGGACAAAGTAAAGGTAAGATAGTTTTAAATGAATGTAACTTTATATCTGCCTGCATATAAATTCCTGAGGAACTTACAGTTATTATGCCCCAGCTAATTAGGGGTTATATAGAACTGCCCTTTTTTTCTGCCTCACTGTCATGCTACCGGTCTGTAGACTCTCAAAACAGTGGAATGTGAGGGCATTTGTGTCCTATGAACACATTTTTAGTTTTATCATTTTATCTATATCAATATGGTGCTTCTCTGTCTTTTATATCAAAATATGAATTATAACATGATACATGACTATGTCATGTTACATTGTAATGAATAGACTGTCAGTCCACATGTAGCAGATGTTATATCTATAGTTTGCATTCTGGTATTGGCCTAAATTTCATAAGGATAAAATAAAATAAAAATATCATGGTGTGAAATCCTCTGAATCCAGGTTCCATTAACAATCCACAGTCCATCCACCTTAATTATTAAAATTTTAAAACAGGGCAGATTGGTTCATGCATTAAAGTAGTAATTAAAAAGTCCAAATCCAAAGCAGAGCAAAACTGTTCACCACAAGTCCATATTCAAAGCTCGCTCATTAAAATAGTAATGAACTAGTTCAGTTTCAAAGCAGAACAAATTTGTTCACCCATTAAAGTAGTGATGGACAAGTTAAAATTCAAAGCAAAGTAAATCTGATCATTCATTAAAGTAGTAATTAAAAAATCCATATTCCAAGTAGATCATATCTGATCACCTATTAAAGTAATAATGGACAAATTCAAAGCAAGGCAAAACATTTACACAAACATAGCTACAAGAAAAAAAAATAGCATGTAAATGTTGAATATTGCTGTAGTTGTTTTCTGTTGAGATTATTTCAGACAATTCTTGAAAGCTCTTGAAAGATTCACTATGAAAATAAAGATGAAATGTCCAGGAATTTTGTCTTGCTGTTGGTATTGATTGGTGGTTATATTGGGTGCCAAAATAAAGCAGTTATCTTCAATTTTAAATGAAGACAAACTTTTTGTCTGAAAAGTATTTTCAAAAATATGCAGTGCAAGACTTCACCAGTGAAAGAATGTCTTCGTTACTGAGTTTGAAATGTTAGGTGAAAACTTGGCAGACTTGTCATTTACTTTATTGTTTCTTGGAACCAGGTTGTTGCTGATTGGGGGGAAGATACTTGAAGAATTTATTAAACATGATAAATGCTTGTCTTCTGTACAGAATTTGTTTGACATTTTATGTTGTTAACCATGAACCATAAATTAGACAATGGGTGGGGAATTGTTTGAATTTTCTAAACTCATTTTTTTTCATCTAGTGTAAAGGGAAGTTGGATGGATGGGGTTTTTCTGTTATCAACTTTCTAGTCAGTAAGATGTTATCATAATAATTGACTGCAGCAGGGATTGGTTGGTGAATTCCACCCTGGATACTATCATGTCTTTCTTAGGGGGAAATGATTCCTATGATGATTCCAAAGCTGACTTTGTCAAGATTTGTATCTTGTTTTGATCAGAAGCATTTAACATGTGTTCTGCTTCTCTTTCATTGTCTATCTTTATTTACTTAGATATTTAATTGATAAATGATTAAATGTTTGAATTTGATGTTATGAGTTAAAATGGAACATGAATTATTATAACTTTGAAAATGAGAAATCTTAAATATCTGACATGAAATATAATTTTGAATGTTACAGGTAAAATGGACCTAGAAAATGAGAAATTTTTAAATGTAGCTGTGAAATATAATTTTGGCTGTGAGATATATTCCATCTCTATTGAAAAAAGTATTTTATTCTCCCTGAACTTTGTTGTTGGGGTAAATAGTTACCAGGTTAACCATTCTTCCATCTTTCAGCCTGACTTATCCCATCCAGTCACAGGCACCTTCATTGACTACTATTGTAGATATTTGGTGTGTTAGTGCATTCTCACTCAACCCTTGTTTCTAAGGTTTCAGGTTGATTAAGTCAAAGGTCATCAAGGCTAAAAATAGATTTTCCTTCTGTCTTTAAGGCAGCCCATACTTTTTGTTTTGAAAAAGTGACATCAAGGAGCATCCGTTGGTGTAACAGATATTCCTGTCACTACTCCTGTCTATTTGTTTCATGCATTTTGATGACAAACAGTATGCTTATACTATGATTGGCCAACCAACAGTGAGTGATATAAATGATATCTAACTGATAAAACCTGATATTTTATTGATTTGTGTAAGAGTGATGAGGAAATTTCATAATATTATTTACATTATTTGAGCAAGTGTAATGTTATCTAATATTATTTTATCAATGAAAACATACAACTTCCTACAGAACATGATAGTGAATTATATGTTAACTCAAATTACATTTAAGTGCAGATTTAATTAATTTTCTTGCTTCATATGTCATGAAATTTGCTGATTTCATTATTTTCATGTTTAATTTATTCATCACATTTTCAGCGATTTTTTTCTAGTGAAATTATAAACCATATATATATATACCCTTTGATCTCAGATTTGTGTTGATGAATAAACAACAACAAAAAACAAGTGAACAAAATGTAAAGTAGAACAGCTTTGTAACATGTTTTATCGTGATCAAATACCACCATAATTACATCTTTCATTGAAGATAATTTCCTCATTAAAATGAAAAATTACATTTATTCTAAAATTTCATAATTAGAAACATAAATTAATTAGAGAAAAAAATTCTAATTGAAATGGAATAATCCAGTTATAGCTTTTACTTTGAGACTGGAAATAGTTTTCTCAAAGCTGATAAATAAATGTATCATTATTTTGACACTTGAAGAATTTCATTTTGGTATTTTCTCATGGTGTAATTGTCTGTATATTATATAAATGATGAAGGTTGTCTGTGATAAGAACATCTCTCTCTCAGTATACTATCTTCATATACTCATTAACTTTCCTCAAGGCTTCAAACAAAATGACAACCTTATAGAAATGGTAATTGCCAAATTTTTTTGGTTTTAAGAATTGGTTTCTTGTCGCCATTATAGAGATGATACATTATTTTGAAGTTTTGCGTCTTTTTCTCAAAGAATTATCCTGATGTTATTTCTTGCAGGCATTATTTTTGTTTATCCCCTGCTGTGTAGTCCTGCTGTGTAGTGAGGAAGAGAATAAAGTTAGGAATGGTCGGCGTCTGTCCATCTGTCTGTCTATAAGATGTGTCCACTCCGTAACTTTTAATCTAATGAAAAATTTCAAAATAACTTGGCACAAATGATCACAATTGTAAGCTGATGTGCAGAATGCATCATCTAGGAGGTTTCCCCCAAGGTCAAGGTCAATCTTAGAAGTCAAATGTAATGTAAAAAGTCACATTTTGTGTCCACTCCATAAGTTTTTATCCTAATATAAACTTGCAAAAATGATCATATTGTGAGGTCTAACCTTTGTTCACACTGTCTTGTTACTTTCAATGTTATACTGCAGCAGGGGATATAGATGTCCTTCAGACTGCCTTGTTTAAACTGAAATACCATTTCAAAACGAATATTTTAGGTCATTTTAAACAGTAAACTATAGGCTCATTGGCTCAGTGCACTATTTGATATAATAAAATTGAAGACCAGACTGTAATCAAAAAGATGTATTCCAGACAAATATTAGCTACATTTTCTTGAATCAGTTTTTAGTGTGGTCTTTTATGGCTTGATCTCAATGAAGTATTTTACTAAATTTTGGTTTAAACTAGAATTAAAATTGATTCGTCTTTCCTATTAGTATAGAGCATGCCCATCCTGCACAACTTTAAATCCCCAAATTTAAAATGATAGTATTAAAATGGAAGAATTTCAGCAAATAAAGGCATAAGTTCATTAATTGTCCACAGTTTTCATCTGGGCCATGGTATAAGAGGGTTGTTACCCTTGCCGGATGATTTGACCTGCATTGATTCTGAAACTGTCCAATAGTATGACAATCTGCAAGAAATGTCAAGGCTGACCAGGCTCTGTTTGTGAAATATGCCTGATATTATATCAGCTTGGTCTTTGAAAGTGTTAGAAATTTTCTCCTGAAAGGTTTGCTTTTCAAATATTTTGCAGACAATTTATGGTAGGTGGACAAATCTATGAAAATCAGTTAAGATATAATAGAGGCTGCATGTTGACTTGTATTAGAGATCTAGGATGTAGAATATTATCAGGTGTGGCATGTTCACCTGTCCAGACTAGTAGATAATCAGAGAATGATTACATTGTTGGTAAATACTGGCAGCTATCTAGTCTCACCATCAATATACCACAGGTATTATAGGTAATCACTCATGAAATATTGCTAATTAGACATGAAGCCTACATGCCTCTCACATACCATTGTAATGTATGGACACAAGATGGACCATCTGACATGCCAGACCATTGCAGTGATATATGCTCAAACACTGCTGTCTCTGTTTACATTACAATACTTCCTGTCAATTTGGTATAAGACCAAAAAACGTTTATTTTGATTGATTAATCATAACTTATATATTTTAAATCATAATAAAACCTTGCTCTTTTTGTAACCAATTAAAGAGTCAAGAAAACATGACCATGACATCAAATAAGGGCTTGAATCTGGTGTCATAGGGTGACCAATGTGACAGCGATTCCTTCCTTCTATTCTTAAAATACTTTTATCATTATCATATAGTTCGGTGATCAATGAGACAGCAATTCCTTCCTTTAATTCTTAAAATACTTTTATCATTATCAGATAGTTTGGTGACCAATGAGACAGCAATTCCTTCCTTCTAGTCTTAAAATACTTTTATCATTATCAGATAGTTATTACTACTACGTCAAGTTGCTAAACTGTATTATATTATAGAAAATGGGAATGACAATCTGGTCTTAGGATAGTCATGGAAAAATACTCAACAAGCTATTTATGTATATACATGTATGACATACTACAGAAATAATTTTCACTTACAATTTTTTTTCCCAGAGTTCTTAGCGGAATGAATCTTCAAAGTAGCATAAATGTATGTATATATCCATGGTACTT